AAGAAACAATATTGACAATAACGCATATAAAAATCAAAGGGATGTGGCCAAAATAGCATTAAATTTACAGCTTTTCATAATTTGTTTGAAAATAAAAATTTAGAAATAAATAACACAGTACATCTAAATAAAGAAGAAATAATACATTCAAAAGCAAATAAAAGGCAAAGTATTTTATCAATAAGTCAAAAGCTGAAACAAGGCTAATAAAATCTTTGGCAAGTCTGATTAAGATGAACAGAAATGTAGTGGTTGACTCTCAACACTCATTCCACTTGAAATGATTAAGCTACTTAAGTTATGGTAGGCTGGGTCTCCTTTTTAGTAAGTGATTTAGGAATGGCCCATCCTGAACAATACAATATGATGGGAAGATTACTGGAGAGTTTCTCAGAAAATTTTACTCTCAAGAGACATATAAAAGAGGTAGTCAGTCCCTTTCTCTGTTAGTCAGCTTTTCATGCAGAAAAGAAATGCTTGGCATACACAGCTTAAAGAAGGAAATGGTTTGTTTTGGATTCATGGTTTCACATGTTTCAGTCCATGATTGGCTGGCTCCAATGTAGAAACATCATGGCAGAAGGGCATGGTGGAGAAAAGCTCCCCATCTCATGCCATCCAGGAAGCAGAAAACAGGGGAAGAGCCAGAGAGAAAGGTGCCAGGGACCAAATATAGTCCACAAAGCCATGGCCCTATGGCGTACTTCCTCCAACCAGAGCCCACCTCTCATAGCCCATTCAGCTATAAACTCATCAATGGGTTAACCCATCAAGGAAGTTAGTACCCTTGCAATCCAATCACCCCTCCAGGTATATCTTAATCTGTTCAAGTTGACAATCAGGACTGACCGGCTTACCTTCTTTTCCTAGATACCAGGGAATGTTCAGAACTGCTATAATCATGTTGTTGCTAACATAAAGGAAGTGCCCAGAAAATTGCAGGAAAGCAGAACCGAAATCCTGATGTAGAGATACTCTATATCTGGACTTTTTGTTATGCAAGATAGTATGTTTCCTTATTATTTAAACCAAGTAGAATCATGATTTCCTGTTTTTTCCAACTGAAGTCATTTTAACTGATGAAAGAAAACCAACAAGCTAGGAATGAGAGGGAGGCGTATGTATAAACACATAAATTATTTAAAAATATAGAAAAAAACACAGTGTACTACCACATATTAATACAATTTAGAACTTCCCAGGAAAGTAAGCCTTTTCAAAATTGACTCCAAAAAAGAGAAATTCTAACCAGATCAATAATGACAGGAGAGGAAAAAAATAATAATAATGACAGAAGAACAAAAATTTTGTCAGAGATCTATTGCAAAAAGTACCAAGCCCATATGATATAGAATTCTATCATTGCTAACACTTGGGAATGAAGAGCTATCACTTAGGAAATCTAAATATAATATAGATGTCAAACTTTAACAACCTAGACATATGATATAATTCTACCAAAATCGTAGTGACATTATGGAATTTTAAATTCCATCTGGAAGAGAAGCAAAATGGTAGCAGGCAAAATTTTGAAACCAAAAAAAAAGAGAAAATTTGAATTTCTATATAGAAAAGTACACTCTAAAGTTACAATAGATAAAAATGTGCTATTGATCCAGAAATAGACAAATTGAACAATGTTACAAAAGAGAGGCCAAAAATAAACTTATATTTGTGAATTTAGAATGATAAATATAGCATTTCAAATCACTGACTTATTCCATAAATGACATTAGGATAATTAACTTCCATATGGAAAAAATTGTGTTTGGGCCTTACCTTATACAAAATCTAAAAATAAGTTCCAATTGTATTAAATAAATTAATTTTTTTTTCAATAGTGGGGATTGAACCCAGGGGCTCACGCACGGTAGGCCACTGGGTGACATCTCTAGCCCTTATTTTAAGATATTTTTAAAGCATTTAAGAGTGCTGGGTAAATTCAGTAAGATTTCAAGAAAAGGCAATAAATATGTTACATTTTCAAACTCTTAAAGTGAAGAAAGCTTTCTTGGTGCTGCTATTACAAAATACCACAAATTGGGTAATTTATAGTTGTCAGATATAATTTTTCAATTCATCTTCTGCAGACGGGGGAGCCCAAGGTCAAGGGGCCAACATCTAGTGAGGGCCTCCTTGCTGTATCATCCCATGGCCAAAGTATAAAGGGAGGGTGAGAGAGGGTGAGAAAGAGGCCAAACTCATCCTTTTATAAAGACCCTCAGAGTCTAATCACTTCTCATCAGGGGCCACCTCTTAACTCTGCTGCATTGGTAATTAGGTTTGCCACACATTTTGGGGGGGGCATTCAAACCATAGCATTTAAGCCTATCATATAACAAAGAAATTGTAAACGAAAAGTTTCATTCACTGATTCATTCAACACAAAGTTATTGCATTGTTCTAGTCCCCGGAACACGCCAATAAAGGCAAACACTCTGGCCTCATTGACTTTCTATTTTAGTGTGTATGACTGTAAATATCTCAAAAAATACCTGATAGTTACATATAATGATAGATATCATGGAAGAAAGAAAAACATAGTAATAGTAGTAAGAGGGAGAGTGTTCAGGAGAAGCCTTGCTGAAACTCCCCAGGGTCCTTATTGTCACCTGACTTTATTTGTATTTTGAGTCTGGATTGAACCACTCAGATCCATGCCAGGAATCTTGGTTACAAGCTCAAGGCAGAAGTTCCCAGAGGGGTTTGTATGCACCCTGGCCATGTACACAACCCAGCCAATTTAACCCATTGGGCTCTTTGGAAAAAAACTACCAGTAGAGAAACTGATCCTGGGGGGATCACCTGTCAAGTTTCAGACTTTAAATAGCATAAAATTATAAATCCCACTGCTAAGAGTGGGATTAGTGCAGTTTATCTTAACTAAGAGTAAAACCTGGCCACCCAGGAGTCTCGCTGAAACAGAGATAAAGCTTTTCCAGCCATGATACCAATCAACTCATCTTTGAAGGATCTCAGAAATTACAAGAAATAGTGCAGATTCATGGAGGTAGGAAGTTTGTCTCATCTGGGTAGTGCAACTGGGATGAATGAACTTCACCTGCCTTCAGTCTTAGCACTACTCTGCTCAAGATTAAACCCCAGGGAAACAGAGCCTGCTTGGCCCAGCTTGGCTGTGTGTTCTCTTCAGGAATCAGAGATAAGGTAACCACCTACTCACATGGACTGAGGGTGCAGGGAGAACCATTGTGCCAATGTAAAATTGGGCTCTGTTCCAAAATAAGGGGGAGTTAATGATGGGTATAGAATATTAACACACCTCATTATAATAAATTGGCAAAAACTAAGAATACCCTATATTTTGGTACCAGGGATCGAACTCGGGTCCTTGCACTTGCACAGCAGGCAGCAAACCACTGAGCTAAATTCCCAGCCCCTAAGAATGCCCTACATTGACAAGGGTGTCAGGAAGTAGGAAACCTAATTTATTTTGAGAGAGCCTGTAAATAACAATATAAGAATATTTTTGAGCAATTCTTCTCTAGATATTTAACTTGCAGAGATATCCACACATGCAGCCAAAATATCATCCAAGGATTTTGTCCATTGTGGAATATAATGAAAAGTTTGAAACATTTAAATGTTAGCATAGTATCTGTACTATGGAAAACTATATTATCCTTAAAAAGAAAATACTTCCTTGGAAAGAGCTCCACAAAGTATTGTTAAACAAAGTAAGGGGCTGGGGATTTAGCTCAATGGTTCTGCCACCTGCCTTGCAAGCGCAAGGTCCCAAGTTTGATCCCTGGTACCAAAATAAATAAATAAGCTAACTGCATAACCATATATAAAATATGATCCCACATATGCATTAATATATATTAAATATACATACCAAAAAGGAGAATTTTTTTTTTGGTACTGGGGTTCAAACTTGGGTCCTTGCACCTGCAAGGCAGGTGGCAACACCACTGAGCTAAACCCCCAGCCCCCAAAAGAAGAATTTTTAATGCTTAATAATTTAAAACTCTCTGAATTCTAAAGCAAAATGTGATTGTGAGACCACAGAGAGTGAGTATCTTAGAAATCTATGGATACTACTGTTATGCCTTGTATTTAGATGTCACCCCAAGGCCTCATGCACTCATAAGTGGGGCTTTTCAGACACGGCTGGATCTACAGTGTGTGAATATAGATTAAGGGTGTGAGATAACCAAATTAGTCCACTGATTGGTTTAGCATAGTTCTTGGTGTGGATAATGGGAAGGCCCACCCTGGATGTGGATAGCACCAATCAATTAGTTTTTAGCCTGTATGGGCTAAAAGAGAAAGGAAGGCTCCGTGCTGCTGGCTGCTTCCTGCTTGCCATGCCATGGACTGTTTCTCCTCTACCCTTCCATTCTACTCTGCCTTGGAGCCAGACAACTATGAACTGAAACCTCTACAAACTGTGAGCTAAAATAAATCTTTCCTCCTTTAACTTGTGGGTGTCAGATATCTTATTCCAGCAATAAGAAAGTAACTAAGATAACTACCCAACAAAGGAAGTTGAAAAAATCCTAAATGCAAGAAAAATGTTTCACAATGATATTGTGATAATGCACAGAAAATGAAGTCTTTTCCAGGACACTCACCAAATTCCCAAGAATGCCACAGTCATGTTGGTAACCTACCAGGGATGGCTTCTCTGAGGTCACAACCTTCCAGTAGCTACCATGGGAGTAAATAGCAGAGCAGGAAGTCAGCATTCTCTAGTGAGGACTCATTTGTGGTTTGACTTCCTAAGAACTTGTGTTGCAAAATAAAGTGATTGTTTTGTTTGCCATAGGAGAAAAGGGAAGAAGACATGGAAACAAGCATACAAGTGCATTGGAAGAAAAGAATTCAGTTTTAAGAAATGGGGCACTCACCCTATAGTCCAAATCCCCATCTGTCTTCTCCCTGAATCCTATTCATTACTATCTTCCCCAGATTCTTATCACCAAAAAGAAAGAGACCCCAGAGAACTCATTCTATAAGACAATGAATACAGCCTTGAATAGGTAAACAGAATGTTGTTTTCACAAAATTTATTATAAATGCAGTGCATGATCTTTATAGGAAAATAAGAAGAAAAACCACTGATAATTCCATCACCCTGAAACAATCACTTTTAATATGTTGGTCTATGTTAGTTGATTTTATCATTTCTGAAATCATATGTACTTATGTAATTGCTCACATGTTACCCATAGTATAAGTGTGTCCCATGTTGTTAATATCTCTTAACAACAGTAATTTTATTACATTGGCTGTGGGGCTGTGTAGAGTTTTGATGTTGGGAAGTGCCAAGACATGCAATCAATCAGTTAGCCACCAGGGGCCATATTTTCTATTAGTGTCAGGCCAGAGAACTTCAGGACTCACAAATGGAACTCTGGAAGAATAGTGCTCCCTCTTTGGAACCGCAGCATTCTTTCTACATCTCCAGGGGAACTTCAGGCCAGGAGATAGCAGATCCTCACTTCTCTTATTTTCTCCCCCAAATTCCAGGGCTAGATAATGGAGATTAAATGTGGTTCTGATAATCAGGCTCTGTTCCATCCTCCCGAGCTTCCGGGTGCTTGAGAAGTGAATAGGTGATTGTATTCTCAGCCTAGAGAGAGCAGAAACTTGCGATGCATCTATGAAAAGGTCATGAGAAAAACAACAGCAGGGGAGAAGGAAGAGGAGAGGACAGGCTGAGATCACTCACCTCAGCTTTAGCAGCTTCCTCGGGATCAGAGAGATTGGCTGTGGGTAAAAAGAAGAGAGATCAGCCCCAGCACTGGTGGAACAGAAGGCACACTATGCTGCCGCTGAAGCTGCAAAACCAAAGTTCACACCAGGCCCAAGGCAAGGGTTGTTGACCCCAACTCAGGCCTGCAGGCTAAGAGCCAGGTCAATGTGGCCTCATTCTCTCACACTGGGGCTATCCCAGCCTCTCCCACCCTGCTGGCCATGATGGCAAAGGGAAGCAGTGATTTGTCCCACATTCTTTTCAGAAGATCAATGAGCTTTCTTAGAAGCAAACCAGGTAGCTTTGGGGATCTCAGGGATTAGAGAAGAGGTGAGGAGTGTTCAGTATCAGAGTGAAATGAAGTCCAAATATTTTGCCGGCCACAGGGTTCAGGGAGGAAAAAGCAACTCCTTTTTCCACACTGGCCAAATGCAGTGCACCTTGGTTGGAAGTGTGAAGAATCAGGTACTTGGTGGCATCAAAAAGAAAGAAAGAAAAAAAGTCATGAGAAAGAGACAAGAAGGAAGAAGAGAAAAGGGAAGGTGAAAGGCAATAAGGCAGAAAAGAAAAGGAAGGAAGGAAGGGAGGGAGGAAGAGAAAGAGAGAAAGAAAGAGAGAGAGAAAGAAAAAGAAAGGAAAGAAAGGGAGAAAGAACTTTCTGTGGTAAATACCCAAAACACCAAATTTCCTCATGTTTTTGCCATAAATCACTTTTCCAGTATGAATAGCATCTTCAGTATCTGTGAATCCACATTTCCCAGGAAGGCGGGGAGGAGTCTGAGACAATGCTTCTAGTCTCCTTCCTCATCTCCTGGACACAAAGAGTCTCTATTTGCCATTTTCCAATCTCTGCAACAAATTATGCTTGGAATCTCCCTTCTAACACATTCTTCAATGACTTACTATGTCTTTTGGGAAACCATCAGTTCCAGTGAAATGTGTTTATGCCAATGTAGGTAGAACCAAACAACAAGGTTGTAAATTTACTATCCAGATGTGTTTGGACTTTTTATTAGACCTGGTTTGGTGCCTCCCAACATGGCCTGGCCAAGAGATGCTCGGAGCCTGCTCAAAGCACAGCTAGAGGAATTATAGTTTGCTCAAGCTCTCAAATCTGTTGGCTCTGCTCTAAGTCATACTCCAGCCATCTGAGGTAGAATCTTCAAAGGGCCTCTTTTTCCTGGGTGACCCTGCTATCATGGGAGTCCCCAGAGAAAGCTCCAATTTCCTTTGTGTTCTGAGTTTGACAACAGTTAGGAAATAGTCTGGAATTCTCCCTTTCTTCTTAAATGCTCCCACCTGGTATGGGGTTGGACAGTCACTGGCTTTCCTTCCAGGGCTCAAAGATCATCTACCAGGGGTGGCAAACCTATGGCACCCATGGCATTTGTTTTTCTTTTAAGACAAAAGATGTTAATGTATGAGTTGTTTTTTCTAAACTAAAACCTCAGTATCCAGGTTTAATTGCAGTGTTGGCAACTTGAGATAAATAAGTGGGTTTTGGGGTGCTGATTGGGCATTTGTCTCTAAAAGGTTTGCCATCCCTGCTCTAGGTTGACCTATTTCCTTCCTTGCTGAGGAGACTCAACATGGTAAGATTTTATTGGATGATGGTGGCAGAACCAGGCCAATATCTAGTAAACTGACATGGATGGGCATCAGAACCAAGTTTTACCCACAAAACAAAACCCACTAGTGGCCCTAGTCCCTCAGGATTTTCTCAAGCCCAAATCTCTTCCTGACTTTCAACCAAGAGCTGGTTTCTACCATGTCCACCCTATCCCTCCACAGGGACAGATTCCTCAACAAATCTAGGAGTTGTTCCCAGGACTCCTTCCCCTATTCTCTTAGACTCCTACATCCTTAACCCTATTGGACTTCTTATAACTTCAGACCCCTGTCTGTTGCCAAATCTCCACAGAAAGATCCAAATTTCTATGATATACTGCTTTGCAAATGTCCCCAAATTCTTAGTCTCAGAAATGTGGGTGCAGCTCTCCCCTCTCAATTTGGAACCGATGTTACTTTTCTTAACTCCAGTGAGATGTTCCTCAGGCCCAGGAGTTAGACTCAGAACTGACCAAGCGACTTGAGCCCCACCCACCTCCCCTTGCCCCCTCCCTCTTGCGTGCTCCAGCTGAACACACACAAGCCACTTCTTGCTGGTTCCCATCCATCTGGCAGCCCTGGACAGGACATCACTGAGCCCCCAGAGAGAACACTGTACTCACCTAGCTCCTTGGGAAGGGTCTCTCCCATTTCCCTGTGCTCAGGGCTTCCTGGGAGAGCTGGGAGGGGCACACAGGAGGTTAGTAGGATTATGGGGTGGGGCCTGAGTCCTCAAGACCAAAGATCAGGGGTAGGATTGGATTAGAATCAAAAGAAGCCCTTCTCTCACGCAGATGCCTCCTCTCCTCCCAGTTCCCCAGCTCCCCTGCCCAGAAAACACTCTGGCCTGGAAAAGGACTGGTCCAGAAAGACAAAAGTCAACTAACCCTATGGCATCAGGAAGGTCACCGTTCCATCTTTCTTATGCTTCCTCTGCCTTTGAAACAGACCTCTTTCTCTGAGTATGTCAGTGTCTCAATATTTACTTATCATCTGCAACTGAGGCCCTGCCTATGAACCAGCAGCAAATGCTTTGTGAGGTATTAGTAGTATTATTCTCTCATTCCTCACTTCCATGCCTTCCCTGCCATTCCTCATGTTCTATGCCTAGAACGCTCTTCCAGCCCTCTTTGCCTAACTCACTGCTTCCCAAACATCACCTCCTCTGTAATGGCAACAGTTCAGATTTATGTGCTGTCTATTATCAGCTAGGCAACTGTTATAAGAGCTGCAATCTCATTCATCATCATAACAATCCTGTGAGGTGAGTCCTGTGAGTCTCCTCATTTTCCAGATGAGGAAACTGAGGCACAGAGAGATGGAGAACTTCACCCAAAGTCATATAGCTGGTGAGCGGAGCTGAGATTTGAACCTGGGCAGTAGGACCCTACTTTTTGTTTTTCAATAGCTATTGTGCACTGACTTCCCATGAAACTTTCTCTAACTGCTCCAGCCGGGCTGGATGTTTAGTTTGTATATTAAATGTCCCTCAAAGGCCCCGTGTGAAACACTTGGTTGCCAGAATGGCGGTATTGGGAGATGGTGGGACCTTTAAGAGGTAGGGCTTAGTGGGAGGTCTTTATGTCATTGGGGGGGGGGCGTTGAAGAGGACTGTGGGATCCCTGGTCCCTTCTTTGCTGGCTTTGCTTCCTGGCCATAAGGTTAGCAGTTTTGTCCCATCATTTGTTCCTGCCATAATATGCTGCTTAGTCACAGCTTAAAGAAATGGGGCCAACTGATCATAGGCTGGAACCTCCAAAACTGTGAGCCAAAATAAACCTTTTAGCTTTATAAGTTGATTATACCAGGTATTTTGTTATAGTGATAGAGCTGATTAACACACTGGGTTACAGAGCTTCCTCTATATCACTGTTGTAGCCTTTTTGTTTCTTTAACATTGCTCTTATCCCATCTTATATTTATCCATTTGTATTTCTGTCTTTCCCACAATGCTGAGAACTCCCTGAGGGAAGGGATTGGGTTTCTTTATCTTGATATCACCCCCAGTGTCTACCACAGTGCTTGACTCTTTGTTCAAGCCTTGTTGAATGAATGAATAATAAATGAATGAGTGATTAAAGATGGAGCTATAGCTGAACACTAAGAATTCTCTAGCCTGGTAATGTCTGGACTTAGGGCCTCAGTCAAGTAGGAACTGATAACAAACAGGACCAAAGAGAGACACTAACCTGGAGTCCTCTTTCTCTTGAGGTAGGTCATGGCTGCCACAGCAACAATAAAGGCCACTGTAACAATCGCAATGACTACAGCCACAATTATCACCACTGACGAAGAGTCACTTGACTTGGACTCTGGGGAAGATAGATTTGAGGACGCAATAAGTACTGTTCCTGTCACCCCCTCTCCCGCTCCAGTGTTGTGCCACAGCACTTATTACCTCAAGCTCTTCTGTGTCTGGGGCACCTATAGATGTAACACTTCACTCCGAAACCTCACCTGCACAAGGGTTCTATGGATGGACTTGTGCCTCTCCCAGAACCAAGTTTATCCACCACACAAGTAAAGGTACATAGGGGAGTGTGCAGGAGCAGAGAGATGCCCCTCTGGGGTAGCGGGGTAGCAGGCCTGAAGCTGCCCTAGTTGGAGGCATCACTCCTGTTCAGAACTCACCAGGCCCCAGGAGTGAATGGCCATTCCATGAGATGGGAGAAGAAGCAAGGCACCCTGAGCACTTAGGAATGTCCACGAGCTTAGGGAAGCTGTAGGCCAATGAGGCGGCTCTGTTTCACTGCTGCGCATAGAATGAGGCCACAACCTTGACCCCTATTCCCTGGAATGGAGGGCTGTGAGCTCTGGCCCCTACTCCTGCCCATTGACCGATACTGGGCAAAGCTTTCACAAAGCTTCTTGTTGGCCCTGGTGCTGTGTGGCATTGCTCAGACCTCCACACAGGCCGACAGGGCCTTAACCTTGCCCATTACCTTTTCTCTTGTCCCTACGTCTTGACAGAGTTCCCATACCTTGAACAGTGATGGTCACAGGCTGTGATTTGTGGGGTGTCACTCCTATATGTCCTGTGCAGTGGTAATCACCACTGTGACTGTGGTTTGCTCGTGGGATAGAGAAATTGCTATTGAAATTGAAAAATTTCTTGGCTATTCCATTGTGGTAGAATGTGACCTTTCCCAAAGGCCTGTCATTCCAGCTGTGGCACCGCAGCATGATGACTTCTCCCTCCTGGAACACTGGTTGGGGGGTCTGGAGCAGCAGCCAGTCTGGAAGACACAAGAACTACAAGATCTAGGAGATCTTGACTCAACTCTGAGACCCAAACGGTCCCATCTAGTGCAATGTAATGAGCAGAGGGAAGAGCCTAAGTTTGGCATCAGATACTCTTGATCTCTAATTCTGGCTCCATTCATCTATGAGCTCTGTAATCTTGGGTGGTAATTTAACTGTCTGGGCCTCAGTTTTCTCATCTTTGAAAACAGGCACGATGACACTATGGTTCTATAACAGTTCCTGGCACACACTGGGCATTCAGGGTGCACTCATCTTCTCTTTCCTTTCCTGGAAGAAGGTAGCTGCATCCTTGTCCTGCTAGGAAACATGCAAGACACCCTGAGGGAGTCTATTTCTTAGGGCTGAGTCCCAGCAAGACTGAGGAGATACAGGTGGAGAGGACCAACCAGATACATATATCTGGGCGATAGGAGAAGGTCTTGAATCTCCAAAAGATGTTGGTTTACTGATGAATATTAATGAACAGGGAGCTTCTGGTCAGCAGGGACTTCGTCTGAAGGCAGCAGGTCACAGGTGAGTCATGAGATTGCTGTACATTTTTGAGGAAACTTTGGGACTCAAGTGAGGGGCAGGGCCAAGTGAAGAGTAACAGTAACAACAGTCATCACAGTCAGGTGATAGCTTTGCCTTATGGAGAACCTACTTTCTGCCAGGAGTTTTGTAAAATCATTGATCTATTCGGCAAACACGTACTAAGCCTTTCCCTGTTCCAGAGGTGAGAAATGCAGAGAGGGATAGGACCCAATTTTCCCTTCAAGTTGCCCAGATACTGATGGGAGAGAAAAATGAAGGAAGACCCTATATGGAGAGGGGGCTGGAGATTAGGGAAGGACCAGATCTCCCCAGAGCCCTATGAGAGAGGCATTAATAACTCTGCTGAACAGATGGAGAAACTTAGACTTAAGGATTAAATAAGTTGATTGTGTTTATGTAGCTGGTTATTTCTAGGTTTAGGACTATTCAGTTGTGGTCTGTTTGTGGTTGGGGTTTTTTTTCGGGGTGGGGGGTATTGAACCTAGGGCCTTCACACTGAGCTATATCCCCAGCCCTTTCATTAATTTTCATTTTGAGACAGGGTTTTGCTGAATTACTAAGTTGCCCAAGCTGGACTCAAATTTGCAACCCTCCTGCCTCAGCCTCCCAGAGTACAAACATATACCATTATTTTCAGCTTGAAAATGAAAGGGTTTTTATGAAGTACGGATCTCCTTCTGCTTCTCTCACACTCAGATGCCTGTCTGTGGCCTTGGAATGAACCCTCTTGCTCAATCAGGACTGAGGCAAAAAGAACTTACTCATACACGCCAAGGAATTTCTTAGGAATCGCACCCGCATCCACACATATGAAGCCAAAGAGTGGGTAAAAAAGGAAATGAGTGAGCAAAAATTACTTCAAGCAAGTCAGAGTGGTGCTTCCCAGAAATCAGGCCAGCCCCCTTTCCTGCCAACATCCGCAGTGTCAGCAGGTTCCCCTCTCCTGGTCCCCCCACCCCCGTCCTCTACTGACCCGCGATCACGTCCAGATGCACAGGGTCGCTAAGGCTGGTCCCGCCCATCTGGCACCGGTACTCTCCGCTGTCATTTTTCTCGGCTGTGAACCGGTAGCTGGGATGGACCTGGGCGGGGATGGGGCTCCCGCTCTGGAGCCACTGGGTGGAGTGGTTCCCAGGGCTGAGGGCCCCCTCGCATGTCAGTAAAACGAGGTCTCCCTGGAGCACCTGGATCCATGGGGGCTCGCGTCTCACCACAGCCTTTGGGAGATCTGTTGGGGGTGGAGAGAGGAGGCAGCATGACGAAGGGGAAACCGAGGAATCTCAGCAATCCCTAAAACTCAGATAAGCAACTGTGTTCGTACTGCAGACAAGAAGAGTGGAACCAGGCCAAGAAGGACTCTGCTGCTGAGGGCAACCACAAAGGCCAAGGACACTCTCAGGGAGCAGGAATGACGCTTTGCAGGAGCGGGCAAGAGGGAACATGGGGGAGACCAGCAAGGAAACTCCCTACAAATATGTCTACCACACCAAGAAATAGCCTAACAGTTCCTTCTTTGTGTGTCCTGTGTCTAAGTCTGTTTTCCCTCTCCCTCTCCCCCCCCTTCTCTCTCTCTCTTTTGGGGCTCACTTTCCTCCCTTGTAAACTGAGGCATTTGGACACTAGTTAATAAGCCCTCTCCAGAGCTGGCTGAAGACAAGTGGGAGCATCTGACAGAGAAGTGGGGCCTGAGAGTCAGATATCAGGTTTCTGTTCCGACCTGGTGTCATTCTTTATCCCTTAGAGAGGAGGTCAGGGTGGCCAGTCCTCTGAGGCCTCAGAAGGATGGAATGGGAGAGAAACGAGAGGGTAGTCCCGGGGTAGGGGAAGACTACACAGATAAGGAAATGCCTGGCAAAGCTCTGTCCACCGTGCTACAAGCAAAAGCATAAGGGCTCTCTGTCAGGAGGACAGGACTTGAACCCTGGGATCCATGCAAAGCAGAGGATTTGTCAACACATGCAACAATCTACACAGATCATGTGATTTTGCGTGTGCTTGAATTTTACCTGGAGAGAAAGCCCTTGTTTTTTTCTAGTGAAGTTTAAAAAAATATTTGATACATAATATCTGTACATATTTATAGGGTACATGTAATTCTTTAACACACGTATATAATGTATAATAATCAGATCATATCTGTCACTACAAATGTTTGTCATTTATTTGTTTGAGAGCATTCAAAATTGTCTCTACTAAGGGGATAGAAGAGAATACTATATGTATATTCATTCCTCAAAGTGAATATAATTATTCATATACCAATAAAAAAGAAAAAATCCTCTCTACTAGCAATTTTGAAATACACCATTAATGTTGTCTACTATAGTTATCCTCCTGAACACAGAAGATTAGAAGTTTTTCCTCCTATCCAACTGTACCCCTGTGCCCATTAAAAATCCTCTCTCCATCCTCTCCTGCCCTTCCCAAGCTCTGGTAATTACTATTCTACTTCTGTGAGATCAACTTTTTCAAAGTTCTTGATTTTATTTAGAGTGGAAGGCAGTTGAAAGAGAGGACAGAATTCTCATTTTCTGTGACAATGCTTGTAACATGTCACTGTAACAGAACCAGAAGGGCTGAAGCATCTGTGGACCATGACTGTCCACCACCTGTACACCTGGGAAGAGAGGTGGGCAGGACATCTTCTGGGAGTGGTGACCCTTTCCTAACCCTGACCTCGTCCAGAGCTTGGTTGCTGGCGCTATCAGAGCACTCCAGGGAGGGCACCAGAAGAAGGGAAAGGTGGAGGTAGAGAAGGGAGAGAAGGTACATGGGGTCCTTACCAGATATCCCGGCAACAGGAGCTGTAAGAAAGAAAGCAGGGGTCATCAAGGGCCTGCATCTGCCCTGAGACCAGCCCGTCCAGGTCCAGAGCTCCCTCACCCACTGCCCAACTTTTGCCCATGCCCATCCCCTGGCTGCCCAGATGAGGTACATTTTCAAAAGTTCTGAGAACTCCTTCCACAATAACAGAAGAAAATGAAATGATATAAAACACTCTTCCTCCTGGGTTTGGTATTTCATTTAGTTTAACACTTTTGACTGATTAAAATGGCTCTGGAAAGTTGTCTGTTGGATCTTACATATGTAAATGATTTTTGCCAGACTCTACCCAGAGAGCAGGATTTGTTCTTTTGGGGAGAAGGGATAAGGATTAAACAACCTTACATCTGTACACAATCTGTAATCTATGATCATTGCAGAAGAATAGAAAATATACATGACAAAAATATTATTGCCTTGCTAGATTTTCCTTCTGGGAAGGAGAGATATATAGATATGTAGATATATATGATGTTAACATAAAGATTATATATATATCAGACTAAGTCATGCTATAAAAAGTGTTCTGTAACCTGATTTTTCACTGAGTGATACCTGGTCTAGCAGATTAATGTTTGTACATGATTGATTCATTGAGTGTTGGTACTGGGATTGAACTGCACTGAGCTATATTCCCAGCTCCTTTTTATTTTTTATTTTGAGACAAGGTCTCACTAGGTTGCTACGTTGACCAGGCTGGACTGGAATTTGTGATCCTCCTGCCTCAACCGCCCAGAGTGCTAGAAGTACAGGCTTTTGCCACTGTGCCCAGCTATGTTATTGCCTTTAATGACTGCACTCTATCCTAATATTTGACTCCCCAGTGGTTTATTTTGCATCCTTGATGCTTAATACTCAGGTCTTCTAGATTTTTGCTATTAGGCAAATCTGAGAAGAGAAGGAGAATGCAAAAAGAATAGCTCTGTGGCTTCATGTGGGGGCCGGCGGAATGACACAGTGAGGAGAAGGGTGTCCCAAGTGGAGGCAAAGCGTAGGACTGGAAGGGTTAGGAAAGCTGAATGCAAGGGTGGAGATTTGAGGGGAACCATCATTGGGTGAAAAGTCAAAGCAGCATCTTTACATGAATTAGAGCCCTGTGTGTGTGCGTGTATGTGTGTGTGTGTGTGTGTGTGTGTGTGTGTGTAGGTGTATATATTATCTATAATCAGTACGGATTTTCTTTTATATTTGGGCTGAAAGTTAAAAATTTCCAAATAGGTGTATATTTTCAGGGACAAAGCAGAGAAAGAAATTGAAGCAGAAACAAGGGTTGAGTTTATCAACAAACCTGCATTGACTTCCTACAGTCTTGCAGCTCAACATTCTAATGGTGGAGATAAGAATATGTATACTTTATTGTAAAAGAGATGTTCCTAGTGGCACAGGAGGAGTATGGATAAAATGCTAAGGGGGATGAGAGGAAGGAAAGGTCCTAGGGTTCTGTGTTTGGCAGGGTTTGGTGTTGGTAAGGAGGGGAACCTCATGGAGAGGTGGTATTCCTCCTCAGGGACCTTCAAGGAGTGAAAGGATTCTGATCGAGAGGGAAGAGGCAATCCATGCGATGAATGCACGGTACGTGTCAACATTCCTAGTGAGTTGTACCCCATCTTCTGCTTGATTTGGGGTCTCTGTGAAAGTCCTTCCAAGAGTGAAAGAAAAGACTAAAAAGGAAAGTCTTAAAGCTAAAGGATGTGACAGAGGGTAAGAACACAGACTGAGTTTGAATTTTGACTTCGCCCCTGCCAAGGGACCTGCACAAATCACTTTTCTCTGCTTTAGTTCCCTTGATTGTAAATGGAGATAATGACAGCAGTACCTGAAGTACTGAGTTGAAGTAAGAGTTACATGAAATAGTAAGGCTATAGTGTGCTACCTGACCCATGGTAAATTTTAAATAAATATAAGGTAATTTTTGAAGTTTGATCTTTAGTTCAGTGTTTAATGGGAAGTCAGAACATTAAAAGTGTGTCTAAAAGCACCATGTCAGATAAATTGGAAAGGGGAACTATCTTTTTTTTTTTTTGGTACCGGGGATCAAACTCAGGTCCTTGCATTTGCAGGACAGGAGGCGGAACCACTGAGCTAAATCCCTGGCCTGGAAAGAGGAACTATCAAAGAGACTTGTTAGGAAAGAGACGGTTGCAATTATCTAGAATAAGTGCGCATGACTTCTCCAATTCACACTTGATGTACTCATCTCTTCCGTTCACACATTTTAACCACACATGCTCATCCTACACCCAAGACCTCATCATCCACAGAAAGCATAACATCAAACTCACAAAATCAAACATTTCTCTCCCTCTCTCTCTCTCTCTTATGAGACAGGGTGTCACTATGTAGTTCAGGCTGGCCTCAAACATACATCGATCCTCCTGCCTCAGTCTTCTATGGGCTGGGATTACAGGCACACCTGGCACAAAATCAAACATTTCACGCTCCAGTTACAACCCCCTTCACTTCCATTCTATCTGCTCAAGTACAGACTCCATAATCAGCTTTCACTTCGTCAAGAATCCCAGAGCTAAGCAGAGCGTGGTGGTGCATGCCTGTAATCCCAGCACTCTGGGAGACTTTGGCAGGAGGATTGCAAACTGGAGCCCAACCTGGGCAGCTTAGTGACCTAGTAAGACTCTGTCTCAAAATAAAAAAAATATTTTAAATGCATGAGGATGTTAACTTAGTGTGAAGGTCTTAGATTCAATTCCAAGTACTGTAAAAAAAAAAAATCCCAAATCTTTTGTCCCTCCCCTTCTACCCTTCAGCCCATGCTTGCCTTTACCCCTGTCCCTATCCAGTTTGGATCTGATGAAAATCACCTCATTGCAAACCCCTCTAACCTTTTTTGCCCTTCTCTGTCTCCATCAAATGCACCTGCAATCCCCATTTCCTTGGTCATTGACGATTTACTTGGTCAGTTGTATCGACAGGGGGAAGTGAAGAGTATACTAAAGTGAGAGAAATTTAAAAGACAGAACTGAGAGAACTTGGCACTGATTGAAATATGGGGGTGATGTAAGTGCATGACCAGGAAAGAGGTCACTGTGCTTATGCAAATATAAATCTTAGATGGATAAGAAGACTTGTAAGGAGAAGATGCTAAGTTGGATTTTGAATATATTTTGTTTCTAAGCTGGAAAGTTTACTTGGAGTTATCCAGGCAGGAGGCAGAAATAAGAAATTAGGTAGAAGTGAGCAAGACAAGTAGATTTGAAGTTACTGACATGGAAATGATAGCCAAAAATCTGAGTATGTAGGATTGGGAAAGTGGACAGTGGAATGGAAGAGTGGGTGAAAAAGAGGAGGATGAAGAAATAAAATAAGCAAGAGATGAGAGAAGAAGAGAGAACCCAGAAGTCAGGTCTTCATTCCACATTCAACAAATAGTAGTGGAAATTAACTATATCACATGAATTGCACTCATTGTGAAAGGGACAAAGACCTTGTACTTCAGGTCAGGAAAACTGCTGAGTCCACAGAGAAGTCCCCAGATCGTAGTAGAGCACCTGCTACATAGAACTCATAACAGATTTAAACAAAGCAGTAGAAGAATCAGCAAAAGTGTTGAAAACAAAGTGCAGTATACACACTGCTTGGCTATAGAGGAATCACCATTTGGGGTGCAATGGGGAACATGCACACCTATGAGGGTAGAACTGGAGCCTTTTCAGTAAACAATGGACCAACACTGAAGTTGAAGTACAACTGTAAAGTGCAGTGACTCAGCCATAGCTGTACTTGGAGATGCCATGGCCTTAGCCTGCAGCAGGGATCCAGGGAAGCAGAGATGGGAGCAACTGAGGCACAATCAAGGGGTGTTGTAAAATAGAGTCATCAAGAGATAAAAACCTAAACTAGAGGCTCAGAAAAGATAGAGTAGATCCTTGGAAATTTAGCAAAAGGCAAATGGAAGAAAACACCAAAAGTCTTTCTGAAGATTCTTGCTCAGATGCCCAGCACATTGGGAGTGCTATTAATGCAAATAGTGAAGACATCACCCCTCTACTGAGCCTGCCCATGGGAAAAACACGGTAGTTCAGTGCTCATTTTACACTCCTACTTTCATGGGGAGCTACTCTCTCTTCCTTATCCCTGCCTCCTGTAGGCCTCCATCATCCAGCACTGAGGGGTGAGGGCTCCCAGAGAGCTGGCCATGCAGGGCCAAGTCAGGGCACGTGACTTGGAGGAGTGGCTGTGTGCCTTCCTCTGAGAGGTGAGGGTGAAACCCCAGGAACACACCTGGAGAAAAGTCTTGGCAGTAAGGATTCCCTAGTGTGCTTCTCCCAGCCTCTTCTAACTACCTGGCACCATTAGTTCCTGTCTCCCGGCCCGTAGCTGAGATCCTGATCAGAAAAGATTCATCTGTCTTGGCTTAAAATGATGGCTTTCTCACTGATCAGAGCCAGGACTCACCCCGTGGTCTGTGCAATGAAAGGAGGCACGCATGATTACTCTGGTCCCTCGGCTGACAATTCCAAAACTGCCCAGGTCTATGGGTCCTCTGAGTCCTGGTTCCCTGGGCTTCTGCCCAGGGGAATTCCCTTATATGCAAAAAACATAGGCTTCTGCTATATGAAGTGGTCCCAGCAGCACAGAGAAGGGCCATTGCCACCCTCCCCAAATGCATCTTAGAGCTCCTCTTCACCCCTTGTCTAAGGCAGCACTGGTCCTCTTGCCTAAGGTTTGGTTCCATGTGAAACAAATTCAAAGGGAAATATTCTGGCCACATATTTATCACTCAACTTAGATCATTAGACTTTCCCCAGAGCAGGTTCTGATGCAGGCAGTGGCAAAAGTTCAGGGGCTGGGTGCCCAGTAAAACTGAGCGTTAAAAAAAATTCTGCCAACTTTGATTTACTAAGGCCAATGGGGCTGTCAGATATGCAATGTACTGCCTCCATACTCCTAATTTTCCCAACATGCTTCTTATGTCACCCTTATCCCTGCCCGAGATCAGCCCTGACCCAGGTATTCCTCCTCCTGCCTCCCTCTTCAGGGCCTTGACTCACCCAGGAATAGCACAGCTATCCACAGCAGCATATGGCCCAAAGTCTGTGAGGACTTGCAGTCAGCTCGGTGACTCTCAGTGGCAAGGACAGGTAGGAATGAAGGGAAGCAAGCTGGCTCTGAAGCAAGCTGGCTTCCACAGCACACAGCTTCTCTCCACCCAGAAAGCACCCAAATTCTGTAGTCCAAAAGAGGAAATAAAAAGAAACGGTCTGTTTAATCATAGGCTCCTCCCCTTCCACTCTCTTTCATCTATTCTCTCCTAGAAGATTCAGAGTTTCCCAGAATCTCTGGCTCAGCTCAAGCCACAGAAACTAAAGAAACATGGAAGCAATTTCTCCCTTCTTCCTCTTGGGGCCACAGCTGACCTGGGCCCTTGGGTCCTTGGGAGAAAGTGGGACAAAAGGAAATGACCACCCAAACTCAATTCAGAACTTTGTACCTCAGTTTCCATCCTCCCTAGGAAGGTAATGGAGGTGAGTTGTATAGACCATCTTCCAGTACATCTTCCATTTGGAAATGCAGACACTGGGATCTGGACTTCTCCTGAAATTGAGCATCCACCATTGTTCAATTTTTCTCTATTATCATAATTCCCTGAGTCACTTTTGGATTGTAGAACAAGAGCAAGGAAGTGTGTCATAGAAGCAATAGGACAATCACATTCATCCTCATTATTTCCCTCCTTTATTCTTTTTTTTATTCATTTACTTACTCATTAATGTAATGAATATCTCAATGAATATTGCTTGAGCGCCAATTTGTGAACTGGATCCTTGTCCTGTTCATTTCTCCCATCACTGGTCTCACCCCTATGGTATGGTGAAAGAGCATGGGTGGTGGAACCGGAAGTGCAAATTTGAATGCTGAGAGCTACTGGGAGGTTTAGGTTCCAGACCTGTAAACATGAAGATCATCATGCCTGTTAATCCAAACAGTTTCTCAACCTCAGCACTATTGACATTCTGAGCCAAATAATTGTTGTGAGGACCTGCTCTGTGTATTATAGGATGTTTAGCATCATCCCCAGCCTCTACCTGTTAGATTCCTATGAATCCCAAAGAGGTGAAAACAAAAATATCTCCAGACATTGGCATATGCTCCCTGGGGGGGAAAAACTGCCCCTAGTTAAGAACTGCTGCACTCAAGGTTTTGGAAGATAAAAGACAACATGTGTGGGCTCGGGATGCAGCACAGTGGTGCCACGCCTGCCGTGTAAGCACAAGGTCCTGAGTTCAATCCCCCATACCACAAAAAAAAACCCCACCAAAAACATGCATTCTAGCAAGGGTCTGTAGATATCATAGGTATCCAATGAGTGCTACCTCTTTTTCTTGCCTTCTGTCATCATCTGTTCACCATCAACATCCCCAAAACAGAAGATATTCTGGGATCCATCTTGGGGCACTCTCTGGAGGTCTCTTTACTACACAACCTTTCAGGAAGTAAGCGTAATACTCAAGGAAATGACATTGTAAAACCTTCCTCTCATACTCTGTGGTCCTCAGAACACTTCAACAGCCCCACCCTCTCTATCACATGTTTTGACTACCAGGGCTTTCAACCTCCCCTCCAGCCTTTATCTTATTTTTAAGTGAGAAAACATTTTTATTAGTGATAAAAGGCCAGTGGGCTGACATCAATACTTTTACAAAATCATTATAAACTAAAGCATAAAACAATAAACAGGTAATACACTAAGAAACCAGAGTTAATAGCCAGGATTGGTAGTACATGCCTGTAATCCCTGGCTGAGCCAGGAGAATTGAGAATTCATGGCAAGCCTGGCCTACACAGCAAGTTCAAGATTATCCTGGGCTACCTATCAAGACCATGTCTAGGGCCCAGCATGGTGGAGCACACCTGTAATCTCAGCACGGGCTGAGGCAGGAGGATCACCAGGAGTTCGAGGCCAGCCTGAGCTACAGAGTGAGACCCTGTCTCAAAAACAAAACAAAACAAAAAAAAGTCAAAAAAAGCAAAAAACCGCCAGAAAGCAAAAAAGAAAGAAACCAAAATTAATAGTCACTACATAAGCATAAAAATGCTTATTCTGAAGAAGGCACTGGACATATTATCTCTTTTACAATAATCTCAGAAGATAAATATCATCATCCTCATCTGCATATGAAGAAACTTAGCTGGCCAAATAGTACAAAGAAGCTACAAAGATTGGCCCATGGAATGAAAAACAGGAGTTGCCTAAGCAGGCTCAAAAAGTGTTTGTCAAGAGAGATGAGGTCAAATAAAAACAAAAGGCTAAGATAACGGTCTCCACAATGGAGGAAGTTGTCAAGAAACTAGATCAAGGATCCTCAAAGGGGAAAAAAAGGGAAATGACAAGCCACAGCAGGGAAGAGGTGAAAGAGCTCAGGGAGGAATTCCAAGAGCAGCAACAGATGCTTCAAATGCAGAAAGCCAGGGCACTTTAAGAGGGACTGCCCAGAGTGGAAGAAGGAGGTGGAAATGATTCCCCTCATGGCATTTAAGGAGGACTAAGGGAGTCAGGGATTCTTCAAACAGGTCTGGCCAGGAGCCCTTGATAAACTTTAGAGTGAGACCTAAAGAGGAGGAGGTTATTTTTCTGGTTGACTCAGGCAACTGCCCACTCCTCATTAACATTTCAACCTAAGAGCACAAAGCTTTCTAAAGAGAAAGGACTAGCATCTGGGGTAAAAGGGGAGGGATTTTAAATTCCAATATTTGAAAGAATGATAGGCAGGGCCGGGGATTTAGCTCAGTGGTTCCAGCACCTGCCTTGCAAGGTCCCGAGTTCCATCCCTGGTACCAAAAAAAAAAAAGAATGATGGGCAAATTAGGGCCAAAGCAGATTAAAGAGTCACTATTATATTTCCCTGATGCAGGCACTAATCTCCTGGACAGAGATTTGTTTATTAGGCTGGCCAGCTCAGTTTCTTCATGTGCAGATGGGGATGATATTTATCTTCTGAGATTGTTGTGAAACTTAGAGATTATATGTCCAGTGCCTCCTTCAGAATAAGCATTTTTATGTTTACATAGTGACTATTAATTTTTGTTTTGGGGGTTTTTTTTGCTTTTCTTTTAGACATGCTCTTGATAGGTAGTCTGGGATTACAGGCATGTACCCCTACTCCTGGCTATTAGTTCTGAAGGAGGCTCAAAAAGTGTCTGTCAAGAGAGACAAGGTCAGGCAAAAATAAAAGACTAAAATAATGGTCTCCATAGGGGAGGAAGTTTGTCAAGAACTCGATCAAGGATCTTCAAAGGAAAAAAGGGAAATGAGAAGCCACAAAAAGTAAGAGTGGGGCCTTCTGTCAGAAGAAGAAGAAAAGAAGACTGACCCCCTTGTGTGGGTCAAGGAGGAAAATAGAGGGGGTTACAGATTACCCAGTGAAAATTAAGTTAAAACATCCAGGAGAAGTACTTAGTAGAAGACAATATTTGATTTCTGTTGAAGGCAGAAAAGGACTGCAGTCAATGATAGAAGGACTAATTAGGAACAGATTATTGGAAACTTGCATGTCACCATACATTACTCCAATTCTCCTGGTCAGAAACCCTGATGGCTCATACAGGTTGGTACAAGACCTGAGAGCTATAAACCAGATTGTCCAAACCCAATACCCACTAGTACCCAATCCCTGTACCCTCCTTAGCAAAATCCCATATGAACACAAGTGGTTTAGTGTGGTGGCTCTAAAGGATGCCTTTGGGGGTTGTCCTTTGGATCCCAAAAGTACAGACCTCTTTGCCTTTGAATGGGACAACCCCATCAGTGGAAGTAAATAAAAATACCACTGAACAATTCTGCCCCAAGGATTTACAGAGGCCCCAGACTTATTTGGTCAGATATTAGAAACAGTTTTGGGAGAGTCCCAACCTCCTACAAGAACAGAATTGTTACAATGTATATGTGGTCTTTTGTTCTCAGGGGAGAAGAAAGACCAAGTATCAGGAGCCACTATAAGCTTATTAAACTTCTTGGGGAAGAAGAGGTTAAGAATCTTCAGGAATAAACTATACTGTAGTTTGTGGAAAAAATACGTTAAATACCTGGGTGTGTTAATTACTTTTCTCTCGTTGCTGAGACAAAATACCAGACACCTGAAGTTAAAGGGGAAAGGGTTTATTTGGCTTACAGTTTGTAGAGGTTTCAGTCCATAATCAGTGAAGTCCAAGGAAGGAAAGATAAACAGGTATGGCAGAGCAGAAACAACATGGCACACACAAGGCAGCAAAGGTAACAAGAGAGTTAACAGTGTCTCCCTACCCCCTTTATCTTATTCAGACTACTTAGGGAGGGTAGCACTTAATCCTAGTGCCCCTGAGCCTAGCATTGCACCAGGAATCAATTCCAGCTTCACACACTCCAGATCAAGCCTATGACCACATGAGGCTTTGGGGGGACATCTAGAACAAACCATAACACTGGGACATTTAATCAGTGAAGGAAGCTTAATCCTCCAAGCACCTCCAGTATAGTCAAATTACCTCTTCTGAAGACAAAAAGAAAACTCAGAAAACTTTTGGGATTACTGCTGTTTGTGGATAGACTTGTGCTCAGAAAACAAAAGCTCTGGGGCTGGGGATTTAGCTCAATGGTTCAGGGGCCTGCCTTGCAAGCACAAGGTCCCAAGTTCAATCCCTGGTACCAAAAAGAAAAAGGAAAAAGAAAGAAAACAAAAGCTCTATACCTCAAACTATTAGAAGAAGAGCCTGACCCCTTACAGTGGTCACCAGAAGAAACTCGAGCTATAAAGGAATTGAAATAATCCCTTATTGCAGCTGCAGTCCTAGCTTTCCCATCCCTAGAGAAACCCTTTCACCTGTTTGTTACTACAGACAAGGTGGCAGCTTTTCAAGATTTAACTCAAATACGAAGAGGAGAAACACAGCCCATTGCATTCATTTCTAAATTCCTTGATCCCGTGTCTAAGGGTTGTGTGCAAGTGGTGATGGCTATTGCCTTGTTGGCTGAAGAGAGTAGGAAGCTGACTTTTGCTGGGGCTCTAGTAGTCAGTATTCCACATCAAGTTAGAACCATCTCCAATCAAAAAATCAGGAAGATGCCTGACAGACTACAGAATATTAAAATATGAAGCTATTTTCCTAAAAAGGGATGATCTAGTCCTCAAAACTGACACCTGTTTAAATCCAGCCAGTTACTTATAGAGAGAGGAGGGAGACCCAGAGACCCTAGGGCATGATTGCCTAGACATCATAGAATATCAAACTAAAGTTAGACCAGGCCTAAGAGAGATGCCACTCTATGGTGGACTTAAATTATTTGTGGTTGGATCCTCCCAAGCTGTAGAGGGAAAAAGACAATGGATATGTGATTATTAATGGAAAAGAACACTCCTTATGTAAAGGGGGACAGATTATCCAATAGTTGGTCAGCCCAAACTTGTGGACCATATTCTCTAAATCAGGAAAAATAAAGCATAAAATATACTGATTCCAAATATTCCTATAGGGTAGTACACACCTTTGGAAAGATCTGGATGGAGCAAAGCCTCAAAAATAGCAAAGGAAAAGAAATAATACGTGGAGTATTGAT